TGTCATCTTATTTCTTAGTTTTCTTTTCCCTGCATCTTAACACCCTCTTTTTATATAAACTGTTTGAACATGCTACTTGAGGACTGGGCACGGTGGCTCACACTTGTAATCCCAGCCCTTTGGGGGGCTGAGGTGGGTGGATCACCTGAGGTCATGAGTTCAAGACCAGCCTGACCAATATGGTGAAACCCCGTCTCTACTAAAAATATAAAAATTAGCCAGGTGTGGTGGTGCATGCCTGTAATTCCAGCTACTTAGGAGACTGAGCGGGGAGAATCACTTGAACCCAGGAGGCGGAGGTTGCAGTGAGCCAAGATTATGCCATTGCACTCCAGCCTGGGCAACAAGAGTGAAACTCCATCTAAAAAAAAAAAAAAAAAAAAAAAAAAAAAAAAATGCTGCTTGAACTATAATACCAGGATTTAAATCACTTATTTAATTGTTTAGTGTATTCAAACAATTATTGAGCATTTTCTAGTGCCATTACAGACACAGACATTAGAGATACAGCAAGAAAAAAACTGAAAAAAAGTATCTTTTCTTCTATTGGAGCTTGTATTAGGTTGGTGAGGAGGTAACTGTAGTTCTTACCATGGAAAGTAATGGGAAAAACTGCAATTACTTTGCACCAACCTAATATTTTAGTTAGGGGAGACAGATAATAAGCAAGTATGGCAGATAGTGATAAGTACTATAAAGAAAAATAAAGTGAGAAAGGGGATAAAATGATGAAATGGGTACTATTAACATTTTGTACAGGATGTTGAACTGGTATTTGAGTATGAACCTGAAGGAAGTGAGAGATTAAGCCATGTGAATATCTGATAGAAGAGGGTTCCAGAAAGAGAGAACAAATACAAAGGCTTTATAAAGGGAGTGTGATTGTATTGGAGGAACAAGGAAATCAGCTGATGAGGAACCATTGAAGGTTCTCAGCAGGATAATATGGTCTGATAAATATTTCTAAAGGATCATTGCAGCTGTTGCATAATGAGTTGACTGTAGGAGGCAGGGATATAAGCTGAGAGACCAGTAAGTAAGCTACTGCACTATTCCAGGTGAGAGGTGATAAAAGTTTGAAGTAGAACCAATAGAATTTGTTGATGGATTGGATATGGGCTGTAAGAGAAAGATGATGTTACTGTTGTCTGAGATGGGAAAGACTTTGGGAGGAGCTGGTTCAGCAGGGGAAAGATCTGTAATTGAGTTCTGGATATGCTAAGTTTGAGATGCCTATTGAACATTGAAATTGAGATGTCAAGTGGGAGGTTAGCATTATAGAGTTCAGGAGAGAGGTTGTGTTCTGAAAATATAGATTTGGGAGTCATCAGTATGTGGATAGTACCTAAGAAATCAATAACTGAATGAAGACAAAGAAGAGAAGAGGTCCTGGGGCTGAGCTCTGCGGCTCCACCGTGATGAGAAGGCCTCTTTCATCTGGAATGCTTCATCCTCTTTCACTGATTCTTTGGCAGAGCTACAAACCTTTTTTCTCCAGAATAGGGCTCACCGCCTACTCAATCTGCTGAAGGGAGGCACTTTACCCTAGAAAAGCAGAAAGAAAGTGTGGTGAGAAGCAGCCTGATGTGTAATCCTTAGCCGAGGGGATTTGTAAACACCTTTCTAAACTGAATTACGTGGAGTTTCTGTGACATTTCTGTAGATCAGCCTCAGGGTCTGGAGGCCCCTACAGGATGGTTGAAATGGAAATGAGTTCCCATCCATCTTTTGGAGTCAGAGGGGTCATCCTGTCAGCCAAACCCCTTCATCTATACTTTTCACTGGTAGAATTTTAGAAAACTAAAAATTGTAAATAATAAAAAGGTTTAAAAGTAGCAACAAAACAATAAAAAGAACAGTTAAAGATAAAATGATACAAGGCACTAGGTGACATAAATGAACTCACCCCCTCCCTGCCACCTAAAAAAAAAAAAAAACAAAAAACAAAAACCAGAAGGCAGCAAGCAAACCACGAGGTAAGAACAACTAAGATAAAGGAAAATCTAAAACTAAAGGTCAGAGAGAATAAAAGAATAATCCAAACAAGCTAAAGTGACAGAAAAAGAGAGTAAACAATGATTTCAAAGTTCAGGAGGTTAACTAGTCAATATTGACTAAATTTAAAAAGCAGTAGCACAAGTTCCAAAGATCAACTGAGAGAGTCTCTTGAGCTAAGTCCCAAAAGCCCCAAATAAGTTTTTTCTTCTGTGGCCTGGGATCCACAGGCAGCTGTCCCCTCAGCAGGTTAGGAGGCCTGACTTTGACTCCGTTCCTCTTCTCTCTGATTCTGGTATCTTCTCTCCTGGGTTCAGTTGCAGACAGGCTCCTGCGTCTCCACCACAGGGATGTCTGTGCTAGCCATCTTTCTCAGCTGTGACTCTACCCTCTGGCTGTTACTGATGGAGGAGAGGGAAGCACTTGGCCCAAGTTGGATCAGAGTCTCTTTTTTGAAATCTGGATTTGTTATCAAGACTCACTCATTTAGGGATGGCCTCTTTAATCATAATAATATTCAATAGTTAATATTTGTTGAAGATTTATGTGGTGAACATTGATCTTTATATGTGTTTTCCAATGAAATTTTTAAAGAACCTTATTCTCCTTGAAGAGGTCCTTTACATCCCTTGTAAGTTGGATTCCTAGGTATTTTATTCTCTTTGAAGCAATTGTGAATGGAAGTTCATTCCTGATTTGGCTCTCTGTTTGACTGTCACTGGTGTATAAGAATGCTTGTGATTTTTGCACATTAATTTTGTATCCTGAGACTTTGCTGAAGTTGCTGATCAGCTTAAGGAGATTTTGGGCTGAGACAATGGGGTTTTCTAAATATACAATCATGTCGTCTGCAAACAGGGACAATTTGACTTCTTCTTTTCCTAACTGAATCCCCTTGATTTCTTTCTCTTGCCTGATTGCCCTAGCCAGAACTTCCAACACTATGTTGAATAGGAGTGGTGAGAGAGGGCATCCCTGTCTTGTGCCAGTTTTCAAAGGGAATTTTTCCAGTTTTTGCCCATTCAGTATGATATTGGCTGTGGGTTTGTCATAAATAGCTCTTATTATTTTGAGGTACATTCCATCAATACCGAATTTATTGAGCGTTTTTAGCATGAAGGGCTGTTGAATTTTGTCAAAAGCCTTTTCTGCATCTATTGAGATAATGATGTGGTTCTTGTCTTTGGTTCTGTTTATATGCTAGATTATGTTTATTGATTTGCAAATATTGAACCAGCCTTGCATCCCAGGGATGAAGCCCACTTGATCATGATCATGGGCTAATATCCAGAACCTACAAAGAACTCAAACAAATTTACAAGAAAAAAACAAACAACCCCATCCAAAAGTGGGCAAAGGATATGAACAGACATTTCTCAAAAGAAGACATTCATACAGCCAACAGACACATGAAAAAATGCTCATCATCACTGGCCATCAGAGAAATGCAAATCAAAACCACAATGAGATACCATCTCACACCAGTTAGAATGGCGATCATTCAAAAGTCAGGAAACAACAGGTGCTGGAGAGGATGTGGAGAAATAGGAACACTTTTACACTGTTGGTGGGAGTGTAAACTAGTTCAACCATTATGGAAAACAGTATGGCGATTCCTCAAGGATCTAGAACTAGATGTACCATATGACCCAGCCATCCCATTACTGGGTATATACCCAAAGGATTATAAATTATGCTGCTATAAGGACACATGCACACGTATGTTTATTGCAGCACTATTCACAATAGCAAAGACTTGGAATCAACCCAAATGTCCATCAGTGACAGATTGGATTAAGAAAATGTGGCACATATACACCATGGAATACTATGCAGCCATAAAAAAGGATGAGTTTGTGTCCTTTGTAGGGACATGGATGCAGCTGGAAACCATCATTCTTAGCAAACTATCACAAGAACAGAAAACCAAACACCGCATGTTCTCACTCATAGGTGGGAACTGAACAATGAGATCACTTGGACTCGGGAAGGGGAACATCACACACCGGGGCCTATCATGGGGAGGGGGAAGGGGGGAGGGATTGCATTGGGAGTTATACCTGATGTAAATGACGAGTTGATGGGGGCAGCACACCAACATGGCACAAGTATACATATGTAGCAAACCTGTACGTTGTGCACATGTACCCTACAACTTGAAGTTTAATAATAATAAATAAATTAAAAAAAAAAAAAAGAACCTTATTAAATCAGTATTATTATTGATGAGGAAACAGGCCCGAGAGGTTAAATGACTTTCCCAGTGTCACACAGCCTGTAGATGGTAGAATTAGGATTTAAACTCACCTGCGTCTGACTCTGGAGTCTATTCTTAGCCTCATGTAATAGTGCCTCTTTTGAAGAAAGGAGATGTAAACTTGGAAACTGTGGAATCACCGTCTTTTGTCCACCATGTGAACAGAGAGCAAAGAATGAATTGACATTTAAATATATAGAGTAGCTGCAATGGAATCAATGTTTATGTCCTCCCAAAATTCATATGTTAAAATCGTAACCTTGAGATGATGTTGTTTGAAGGTGGGGCCTCTGAGACATGATTAGGTCATTACAGTGGAGCCTTCTCTAATGGGGTAAGTGCCCTTATAAAAGGGACCCCAGAGAAACCCCATGTGAAATTACAGCAAGAAGGTGGCTATCTGTGAAAAAGTGAGCCCTCACTAGATATCAAATCTGCCTTGACTTGGGACTTCTTAGCCTCCAGAACTGTGAGAAATACGTTACTGTTGTTTATAAGCCACCCAGTCTGTGATATTTTGTCATAGCAGCCTGAATAGACTAAGATAGAAATCAAGATGAGAAAAGGAAATTCCTAAGCTTCTGCTTTGACTCTGGGCTCTGTTTCTGCTACCACACATTGTGAGCCACCCCTGCTTTTCCATAATATATTCCTCCCCAACTTTTTTTTTTTTTTTTTTTGAGATGGAGTTTGGCCCTTGTTGCCTAGGCTGGAGTGCAATGACGAGATCTTGGCTCACCGCAACCTCCAACTCCTGGATTCAAGCGATTCTCCTGCCTCAGTCTCGTGAGTAGCTGGGATTACAGGCATGTGCCACCATGCCTGGCTAATTTTGTATTTTTAGCAGAGAGGGGCTTTCTCCATGTTGGTCAGGCTGGTTTTGAACTCCCGACCTCAGATGATCCACCCGCCTCGGCCTCCCAAAGTGCTGGGATTACAGGCATGAGCCACCACACCCGGCCGATTTCCCCCTTTTTGTGTTAGACTAATTCAGTTGAATTTCTGAAACTTGCAACCATGAATACTAACTAATATTAGTACTGTTCCTTGATGTGAGTTATGGAGGACCTCAAAGCTCCAAGCTTCCCTTATAAGCCAGGCTTCTTTTGATTGCTAAAAAGTAGCAGCCTCTTGGATTTGGCTCTCGATCTTTTTTCTCTGCCACCCGCTTTCTAAACTGTAACTTCTTTGAGTACAAGGATAATTAACAGGTCTTTTTTTGTGCTCCTAAAGCACTAGATGTTTTGCAAATGCTAGGTCTCAATAAATTCTATTTAAATTAATTCATATGATACTGTTTATTTATTTCCTTGTACGAACATGATGCTTTCCTAAACTTGGGAATGATTAAAAAGCTATCTTTCTAGAATGAAAAGCTCACATGTTATATGATTTCATTTATATAAAATATCCAGAATAGGTACATCTTTAGGACTGAAAACAGAGTCAGGGACTGGAGAGAGGGGAGAATGGAGGAACTGCACAATGGCTCCAGGTTGCATTTCGAGGTGATAAAGATGTTTTGCAACTAGATAGAGGTCTTGATTATGCAAAACGTGAATGTAATAAATTGATCTGAATTGTTCACTTTATAATGATTGACTTTTGTTATGTGAATTTCATCTCAATTATAAAAATATTAACAATAAAAAATTCTATTTTGTGAAAGAAAAAAGGTTACCTTTCATGTAGGTGGTAATCATCTGGGCTTGAGCTTATTGGTTTGAGGACTGTAGGTCAATTCTGGGCATGAGAGGAGGGCACTCCCTGACCATTTTCATATTACAATGATTCCTTCATCTGAAACATAGAAGTCAGAGAACTCTTCACAAGAAGAGCATGGCACAGCAAGGCTTACTTTGTTCTATTCCCACAAGATAATCTATGTGAATTATAACCAAGGATTCGAAGAGAATGAGGTTGTTCTTACAGTATTCATGATGTCTCTGGAAGTTCTATGGGTTTGCTATTTTGTAATATCTCTATTGCCTAGTCAAAGCACACCTCATAGTTCCCGAAGTGGGAAAGGAAAAGTACATGTTTTTGCCACCACTGGAAATCATCTGAGATATAAAATGGGAGGTCAGTTGACCTCAATGAAGGATCCAATTGTGTATTCAATGCTTGAAAATGGCAATCTTCTGTCTATTGGCCCTTCTAGGATGAAGATAGTCTGAAAACTTGCCTGGAAGTTTGACAACAACAGAGGAGAGCTCCTTTATCATCAAAAAGCCAAGAAAGCAATGCAGGTGATGACTTAATGTCATATTGCATAAAATATAAAGAGACTTTCTAGGAAAACCCTACTGATGGATACTTGTCTCTTAGAATTGTAAACTTTTCACACATTGAATTATAATAGGAATTATTTATTACTTTTTGAAACTTACATGGAAAAAGGCCCATCCTGATTTGGGGACCAAAATTCTCCTACAGTTATTCCCTTGTTAGTGTTCTTAGAAATTCCTTATTTACAAAGTTCAGGTGGCTTCTAATTCCTGGCGAAGCTCAGATTTATGAAAGAAAATAATCAAGATGAAGCACAGATTTATAGATATAGAAAGCATGCAACTTCCTTCTTTTTGGGAAAGGATCCAGAAAATGAGGTTCAGAGAGGTTGACAGACTTTTGCTAGAGCAGAAGAGAAATAATGGCCAGAAACGTCCACTTTGTGGGTCTTGATGCCACAGCGTCCCAGTAGACCATGGAGCCCAGAACTTGGGTCTCTTGGTATTAGATTTTTTTGCATGTTTTAATTGAGAGGAAATGAAAATATTTGAGAGGCTTAATGTCATCTGCACTATTTTAAAAAGCACAATTTTGTGCCCACAATTCAACGATATATTTCATCAGATCATAGACCCATGGAGCTTTGAAATCTTTTCAGTGTTCACCCTAGCCAATGCTTTGTCTGTAATACTACTTCTCAATGCTGTTTCTTCTAAGAGGTTGTCTGGTCTCTGCTTTAACCTTTGGATGGACAGGAAACTCATCATCTCTTAAAGCAACACATTTTATTTGCGTGTGTTTGTGCTTATATTCTCTCTCTCTTTCTTTCTGTTTCTCTCTGTAGAGTGCCTATATTTCATAGTCCGCTTATGCATGTATTTCATAGTCCATTTTCTGCAATTGAGATCCTACACATACTTTTCATATTGATACAAAGTCTTAATAAGGTTGATATGGTTTGGCTTTGTCCCCACCCAAATCTCATCTTGTGGGAGGAGCCCAGTGGGAGGTCTTTCCTGTGCTATTCTCGTGACAGTGAATAAGTCTCACAAGATCTGATGATTTTAAAAAGGGGAGTTTTTCTGCACAAGCCCTCTTCTCTTGTTTGCCACCATGTGAGATATGCCTTTCACCTTCTGCCATAATTGTGAGGCTTTCTCAGCCACGTGGAAATGTGAGTTCTCCATTAAACCTCTTTCCTTTGTAAATTTCCCAGTCTTGGGTATGTCTTTATCAGCAGTGTGAAAACAGGCTAATACAATGGTAATTGTAAATGGCTTCATATACGGTATAATTTCCCTAATAAAAATTTATGCAAACATGACTTAAAAGTTTTTACTCTTATAAGTAGAATTCAATACTATTTTGGTTTGGGGACGTTTGGTTATTAGATCATAAAGAGTTTAAGATTTAACTTTTACTCTTTGGCTTTAAATGTATACTGCAGAGTAACATTGAATAAATCAAATCTCTCTTCCACCAGACAGTTCTTTTCAGTGTTTTTAAAAAAGGTATCATGTTCCTCTGAAAAAGTGTCTTTTCCAAGGTAAACATCCTCAGCTCTTTCCATCATTCTTTACAAGTCGTGGTTTCCAGACCCTTCACAAGATTGTTTGTTCTCCTCTGGATGGACTCCAATTTGTCAAAGTTCTTTGTAAAGTACGGTGCCAGAATTAATTACTGTAAAAACTATAACCATAATAATAATAACCACCATTTACTGACTGCACACAATGTTCCAGGAACTGTGCTATAGACTTAGCTTTTTTAATCCTCACAAAACCCTCTAATATTGTATGCGTTATTATCTTTATATTTTTAGACAAGAAAACCAGTTTTAATACGTCAGCTGGCTTATCCAAGGTCACACAGAAAGGAAGTGGCAAAGCTAGGACTTAAAACATGCTCTGTGTTCTGAACCATTTTATAATGCTACAGAATTTCCTGGCTATGCAAAATTTAGGGCTGAGATATTAAATTTATGTGAGAATACCTTAAGATTTCATTATCTTTTCATCCTTATGAAAAGGATGATAGAACCCAGTTCTTCCAAAACAGGCTTAAAAACACCAATTTATGCATTTGTCAAATATTTTTTGAGTGCCTACTTCATGCCAGGCACAATTTTAGGAGGTAACAATATTGAGATATGCAAAGTAGACAAAGTTCCTTCTTTCATAGGGCTAGCATTCTATTGAGAGAGACAAACATTCTGGAAATAAACAAGTAAATATGGTAATTTCAGATAGTGATAAAGTGACATAAAGAAAATAAGACAAAGTAATGTGCTAGAAAGTGTCAGTGTTAGGTTATCAGGGAGAGACAACGTGAGATTTGGTGACCAAGGGAGGCCTCTTGGAGGAGGTGACCTCTGGTCTTAGACTGAAATGATGAGAAGGAACCAATCATATAAAGATCTTGGGGAAGAATATCTAAGTCTCAGGGAATGGAAAGTGCAAATTTTCTGGCACCAGAATAAGCTTAATGAACTCAAGAAACCACTCAAGAAACTAAATGTAGAGTAAGTGATAGAAGAGGGGAGAAGGATAACTTCAGAGATACAAGCAGGGAAAGATCACTTGAGGTCCTGTAGTCCATGGCAAGAATTTTGGATTTGTATTTTAGTGTAGTGGGAACCCTATGCCATGTTTTATGCAGGCAAGTGGACTGATCCAAGTAATCTTTTAAAAAGATGACATCGCTACAGTGTAGAGAACGCATTTTAAAGGGCAAGGATGAAAGCAGGGGAATGAGTCAGGAGGCTATGGCAATGGTCTGGTTAGAAATGATGGTGGGTTTGATCAGGTGGCAGCTGATCTAATTGTGACTCATATCAATGGGAAAAAATGGATACGTTCAGAAAAAATGAAAGAAAGGTGGACAGAATTCCTGGCAAATTGAATGGAGTCGGGTAAGAGAGAGAGAGAAATTGATTTAACACTAGATTTAGAGGTTAGTAAGAGTGCTGTATATAATGTGTGCTAAGTATAGTATACACAGGCCATTTACATATATGAAGTGATTTAGTTCTCACAAGACTCCTATGATGTAGCTAGTATTCCTCCCAACTTATCTCTGACAAAGAAACCAAGATTTAGAGATGCTTAATAACTTGCCTTAGGTTATACAGGTAGTAAATCGGGAAGCCAAGATTTGAACCCAGGTGTACCTGACATCAAAAGCAGTGCACATTTTTGTGTGACACAACATTATCCCTGGAGCTCTGATAAAGATTGCATCTTGCCTATAAGGCAAGATGGAATTAAAGAGTCCCACAGCAAAACATCTATGGAGTCACATGTGAGGACACATTCTATTATCAAGGGGCTTGATTGATGTTGCCTGGCTTCTCTCTGGTTCCTTGAAGGGCTGTTTCAGTTCTGGAACCTCATGTCTAAGGGACGTAATCGCATTAGGTGGAGTCAGAAGTAAATGAAATGATTAAGCCAATGGAGAAAATGACTTCTGAGAAATGATTACAAGATTGCAGCTTAGCTCAGTGATGACTAAAGAGGACATCAGCCTATAAATATTTCAGGGGTGGAAATAGCAGGAAGGGGGGATTTTTCTGTGGAAAGTAGAAAGAAATCGCATGAAGGGACAGGCAGAGAATACAGTTCAGTACCTGAGTCTGCGCTTTATGATGTTGGTGGCTTATCATGACTTTGCGTCTACATTTTCTCATCTCAAAAAGATAAGCTGTGATTAAATGAAAAACAGGTAGTATCTCACTAGAAAGGCATCAAAATCCAAATAAAACATTCTTTCATGCTTTTAACATTCATTTGATAAATATTTATCGACCTCTACTTTGCATAAGACACAGGAAAGGGGAGGATTTGGGGCCAAAATGTGGATGTCCATTTGAATATTCTTGTTTTATAATAAAATATACATATTTTTATGAGACAACTATTATAAGGACAATTCCTTCACAGCAATTGTCTAGCTGGGATCAGAATTATTCATGCACTGAAACATATCAGCTATTGTCATGTTCTGGAGTCTGGAGAGAAAGGGTAATGCTGGTACCATGCATCCCTATTGCCTGAATACTGCTATACTCTAAAGAATGGGGAGGCTTAAGTTTCAAACACAGGCTAGTGATTTCCTTGAGTTTGCCACAATGTGTGTTTGTCTGCACATTTGTTAGTGAAATAAGAGAACACATTGCTTGATAACACAGGGACAACTGTCCAATGCATTGGGTGCATTATCTTTCCATATACAGTATGAAAATTATATCTATCAGTCTGCAAAGTCAGAAAGCCTTGGTTTATCAGCTACATCCGGGCCACATACAAAAGCTAAAGCCGCTGTGGGAAAGGTTTCTTGAAAAGCACACCTGTCCTTTTCAGACATTTTTGAAGTATCATATTTGTTTTTGGATAATTTTGACCTTCCGCCCTTGATTCTTCAGCACGGTTGGGAGGCTGTCCTGTGGCTTGAAGGTTAAAGAGAAATACAAGCGAATGTGTCATCTTAATAGGCTTTGAATGCACTCCCAAATGACACTTTTTTTCTTTTTTCTTTTCAGTCTTGCTTATAAAAGTTACACCTGCAAAAATGGGACTGAATCCAGTGAGGAAGGACATAACATTTTGCTTGAATGTGCAAAAAATTGTCTGTATCCCTGCAAGCTCTGAGCAGCCCAGTGGGTAAATGAGCGTTTGTTTCCTGTTCACCATCTTTGAGTTGAAAATGAGTCACACACTCGTGGAAAGAATAGTACTATCTTCTTTTGTCTAGCTCTGCATGCTTTTGTGGTTACTGAATTTGTCTTAATGGGAAGCTTGATTGTTTCTCTTTTTGAGGCAAACTATTAGAATTTATTTTTAATCTGGAATAAGAGTACTTTAAATATACTATTTTTGATTCATAACTGGATTTAGAGCCAGTGTATACAATTACAGAAAATTTCTATGGGGCAAAAAAAAAAAAAAAAAAAAAAAAAAAAAACTTCTCAGGTTTATTAGTTATCTGGAAGCATAAACCAATTCCTAAATGTTTAAACTAATTTACTTCGAGAATGATAATAAGTGTAATTTGTTGAATGTCTACTTTGTACTAGCCATTATGCTATGTGTTTTTAATAGATTATTCGTAATCCATATAACATGCCCAAAACGCAGATATCAATAACCCCTTTTTATAGCAAAGGAGAGCAAGGGTCAGAGAGATTAAGTAACTTGCCAGAAGGCATAGAGCTGATCAGTGAGGGAATTTGCGTTCATCTCTATTTATGTCTAACTTCAGGGCCTGGGCTCCCTCCATTATGACATCCTACCTCTCTGCAAAGAGCATTTGATGACAAATTTGCCTCAATTCTTATTACAAAGAGGTAGGGCAGAAAGTAAAAAGACCAACAATAATTTCCTTTTTTCTTTGTAAGAAATTGATTTAATAAAGAAATTGATTTAATAGGCTAGAAAATACTTTTAGTCTTCCCTGGATGTGCCAAGAGGCTCAGGTGCATTTGGGTACTGGAGTAGTTTCCATGACTCAGGGGACCCTGATTCTAGTTTTGTTTTATCCAGCTCTGCATGGCCTTGATTTTGAGACTCTCAGGTCCCAGATATTTGAGGATTCTGAGGCATACGCTTATGAATTCTTACTCCATTACTATGTTCTTAAAGAGATGGAGGGATAGCTTATGGATCAGGTTTGCACAAGGATTTCCAGGCTGCTGGAAGAAGGAACAAAGACACCAGAACAGATACATTTAATGAAAAAAGTTAAAAGGGAGAGATTTATCATAAGGAAAACATCTGAAAAGTGTCAGCAGAGGCTGTGGTATCTGAAATTATTGCTGGACTATCTGCAATGATAAATCATTATTTCAGATAATCTGACTGAATTGCTGGCATACTAAGACCCCAAACTAAGAGTCACAGGTTCAGTTATTAAAGTCAGTTTCAGACATTTTATGAATGAGGATTTCCTTTTGAAAACTGGAGGGGGAATCAAGAGGGGCACACTTCTAAGAAACTAACCATTTAAATTCTAGATTTTAATTGAGTCTTATTTATTTATTTATTTATTTACTTACTTACTTACTTACTTACTTAGAGACAGAGTCTCACTCTGTCACCCAGGCCGGGGTGCAGTGATGCAATCTTGGCTCACTGCAGCCTCTGCCTCCCGGGTTCAAGCTATTCTCCTGCCCCACCCTCCCAAATAGCTGAGATTATAGGCATGCGCTACCATGCCCGGCTGATTTTTTTCATTTTTAGTAGAGACGGAGTTTTATAATTTTGGCCAGGCTGGTGTTGAACTCCTGACCTCAAGTGATCCACCTGCCTTGGCCTCCCAAAGTGCTGGGATTACAGGCATGAGCCACTGTGCCCAGCCCAAGAGTCTTATTTTTGCCTTTCTTTCTGCTTTACGAGCTGTTTCATGTTCACACAAGGGGCCTTGTGGAGCCACCAAGGACGTGGGGCAAATGTCTGTTTGTAGAAATGTGGAAGAACAGCATCTCCAGTCTGAGTACATATATCTCTGATTTTGATTGGTTCATTATGGATATTAATTTGGATTACAGACATTTTTATTAACTAATTATAGAACATTAAAGCAAAAGAAAACCACATATGATAGTTAAGGCACATTTCTCAAAGAAAGTTGTTCATGACCATGTCATACTGCGGCAAGCTATGCCTGATGTGTACATTACCTAACAATTTGGCTTTCTCACATCTATCACCCCTGTGTTACTCCAGGTGCAAATTGGAGAGAACTTCCCTTTACCTGTTCTTCTATTTTTATAACTTGGCATTCACTTGCCCTGGCTCCCATATCTGATTAAGGAGCAGACACCAGGCGAGCACAGCAAGCTGATGCAATGGGTAGAGCTGCTGCTCACCAGGAAATGAAAGAATTCCTTTCCATAACTAACAGACAAGGGAAGGGCCATGCTCAGCTAGTCTTAGCCCATTCCTGTGTGGCTGGTCACACCCTCCTTGCAGATGGCAAGGCCTACTCTCTTCCTCATCTGCCACATCTACCTTTCCTTGAGAGGCACTTCTAAAGATACTTGTGTAGTGTTCCTTGGCCACACCAGCCTTCCATGACCTTTTACTTCCCTGGTTTCTCCAGTATGTTTTGCCAGGTTCTGTTCTCTGTGAACACCTACCTGATCACTTTGAAGGTTGTCTCGTTAGAATGCATCCAGTTACCATATCAGAAAACACAATTTAAACTGGCTCATGCCATAAAGAAGATTTATTGGCTCACATAACTGGAAATTCAGAAGTATATACGTGTCAGGATTGGTTTGATCTAGTCACACAATTGCATCACCAAGGACTTGGTTTCTGTCCTTTTCTCTGATACTCAGAGGTGAGTGATGCAACTTTGTGACAAAGCTGCTGTGCTCTTGTCCCAACATGGCTGCCAACGACTCCCAGGTCTACACCCATTGCCCAAAAAACCAGTTACTATTTGCCCCCAAACCTCAGGCAAACCCTCCCTCCTGCCTTGCAGCCCAAATATTTGTCTTGGGCCAGATGGTAAAAATACTCTGATTTTGTTAGGCCCTAAGAGCATGCTTTATGTTTGGAGCCAGCCTGGGAGTCAGCATCCCCTGTGCTCTTGGTTTGCCTCAATGACAAAAATGTAGGTAAGAAAGGGGGTCTGGGTGTTGGCAAGTCAACCTCAAGGTCCATTTAATTAGTCAAGTGTAATCATTTGCCTGTCCTATCCTGCAGGTTCCAAACTCTCCATCTCTAGGATTAATTTCAGCCCTGTTGGGGTACATAAGAAGATGTGTCTTTACATTAAGTTTGGGTCTTGTTGAAAGTGGTTTGATTTCTGTTGCCACACACTGATTCTCATACAGGATCTGCTTCCTGGTGACACTCATCCCTCATCTCCTTATCTACGTTTCTTAGACTTCTCTATGACATGACTCTGATAACTTCCTGCCTACTACCTGGATCTGCTGGAGGGCTGGGGGACCGAGTTTAAAATACAAGAATCAGTTCTTAAGGAGACAAGATTTTTAAAAATTCACTGTTTTCTGGGAATGGTTAGAAATTGAGATGTTACAAAGGAGAATATATTCCAAAATCACACTGGACTGACAGAGGTATGCTGGAGCCAGCTCATACTGGCTCATGAGAGCTGATCATTGAATTTTCAAGACTTTGTGAGCTGGTTGTTAAACACAGCCCTTATTGAATGTTATGACATATAAATTTAGAATTAGGCAAATTGTTTAAGGTAAAGTTAATAAAGACTCCAAACTCATCACATCCTAATTATTTTGCTATATTTTACTATATGCTCTTGACTATTTTCATCTATTGTATGTCTATGGTAGAAGTAATATACGAGGGTATGCTACCATACAACCCTTTTCAACTCTGCATTCTGTCACATCATGTTGGTAATATTTCCATGAAGTATTTACACCATAGATCTTGGTAGATACTATAAATCAGAGCTTTTTCCCCATAAAATATTTACTAGCACACCCCTGGCTGGTTTTTAAAATGTAAAATGAGAATGATAATGGTAAGTGCATTATTAGCTTTGTATGAGGTTATAATGATGGAATTCATATAAGGAATCTGGCTCAAGGCAAATCAGTCAATGAAACTTGGTTATGACTATGTCCTTCTCTGCCTTATTAATAAGAGTATATTAAATAGCATATCATATAAGGGCAATCCTTAGAAGCATAAAGTAATATTACATTGTGCTATTGGTACATTACTAGGAAGAGATGAAGCCTTGTGGGGCATGGTATAGAATGATGTTATTGCTTGACCTTACATGTGACAAATGTGCCTCGCCCTCCAGCCCCCAGACTCTGGGAAGATCCTGGTATCACACCAACTTGCTCAGGGTTTTCTGCTGAGCCGTCATCTGCCTCTTCCTTTCTCTCCTATTTTCCTCTTCCACTTTTCGCTTCCAACACTTGCTAGGGGTGGCCTCTGCCTTGGTCTTCAGAGATCATTAGTACCTCAATGATCTCTGAAGACCAAGGCAGAGGCCACCCTTAGCCTTTTGTCTTTTACTTCCCTTTTTGAGAGTGAACTGCCACCTCTCTGGTACCAATATGGTTCCTGCTTTTATACCACAACACCACAGTTTATCTCTGTGCCACCTGATGCCATTCCTACTTTTCATCTTTGCATCTTTCTTTTCTTGGCTTCATTTTTCTATTTCCTTTTCTGTCCCCATTGCCTTAAAGATGCCTCTTTCAAAGCAAAAACCATTTTGAAAAACCACTTCCCTTCTGCTTGACCACTGACTCATTTGAAACTCTTAAACCCCTACTGTATGCAGAACACATGTACTTGATACATATTCAGAATGAAGAAGCAGTTTGTGCAAAGAGTTACGATATGGAGATATAAGAGCATATAAGAGCTATAGAAGAAAAAGAGGTTACATCTCACAAGGGGTAGTGAGGGGAAGGCACAAAAAGTCAAGAATAACCCAACTTATTTGTGGTTTTGGGACTTTTCTGGGTGCTTGGCAATGTTGATGGAAAGATAACTGGAATTTTAGTTCATATAATGCCCTATGTGTCCCAAATTATTTCTTGGACATCTAATTTCTTTAACTGTATTGTATTGTAATTTCATTAAGGGCAGAGATAATTCTGTCAAATCAACCCCACTTTACTCCTAAGGAGCACATGTGTTTAAAGGCAGCTCAGTGCCTCATTGATAAAAAGTTTGCATCAAATGCTTATTGAACAAAAAAATAAATAATCCATGACCTAAGCTGAAGTTCATATAGCCTCTATTGAAAAATCTTTAATTATATTTTTACAGATTCATAGAAATTCAGGAGTGAAAAGTATCTTAAGAGTTATTTGGTCTAGTAATTCCCAAATCTGGAAATATATTACAATTGAATAGTGGTGTGTTGGGATG